GTGTGAAAAAAAAAAAAAAAAAAAAAAAAAAAAATGCTTATTTAAGCAAGGAAAACTGCCTACATTTATGGTTTGTCCTGGTGGGGAATAAAAGGGCTCATTGTTCAGGCACAGGTGTAGTTATTGTGAATACTTTCAGGTTTGGAGCAAGCAGCTCTGAGGCTGTGGCAGAAGTGCACACCTCGTGGGTCCTCCATGTGTGGAGCCCTGTGTTGCAGGGCATGAGCCGTCCCGGCATGCACACCTCTGACCGCAGCTACAGGGGCAGGGTATCCTTTAGACAAAATTGTCACCTGTTTATTCTTTGACCTTGCGCTTGTGAGGCAGGTGTGGCACTGCTGAGCTAAATCTCTGGTCCTGACCCTTTTATTCTGAGTAAGGGCAGGAACAGATCACATTCCATTACTTATAAATTTACCTGCTGTTTGCTTTCATTATATTTGTTACACAGTTTGTCTTTAAATGTTTTAGGCAACTTAAGAACAAAGGAAAAAGTAAGATACAGTTAAAATGAATTGCTTGGTATTTATTACTTCATGTATATCAAACAGCAGTAAACAAAAATCCTATTTTTTTTCTTTTGTGATTTTATTTTTTAATTTGCCTAATATGCATGGGCTGTAAAAATAGTGAACAGGCAAATTACTTGAGATAACTAGCTCTGTTTAATGTCTTAAGAAATTTTCATTAACAATCCAAGCATACTTGTTAAGAGCATATGTATTAAATTCATGTAAGTGGAATAAGTTTTATGAATGGAAAAAAATAGCATGTAGTACAACAGATCTCTTGAACTTACTTGTCCTAACACACACAATATATATATTTGTTTGCTTGTTTGCTTTTTGGTACTGGGATTGAACTTGGTACCTTGTGGTTGCGAGGCAGGCAGAAAAATATTTTTCTTGTGAAGTTAGGGACTGAACCCAGAGCCTAGCACCCGTTAGGTAACTTCTACCACTGAGCTACCTCCCCACCAGCCTGAAATTTTACATCCTTTGACAGGAAATTGCTTTTTGTGGTTTTTTTTGTTTGTTTTTGTTTTGTTTTGTTTTTGGTCTTTTGAGACAGGGTCTCATTGTGTAGTTGGGACTGACCTGGAACTCATTATGTAGCCCAGGCTGGTCTCAAATTTACAACAATCCTCCTGCCTCATCCTCCTGAGTGCTGGGATTGCAGGCATGCACCTCCATGCCCGGCTTGACAGGAAATTGTTTTATCAAAAATAAAACAATGAGCAAAGTTTCAAAAATGTCATAGTATAATCTAAACAATGAAAAGTATATCAAGGTAAAAATTTTTTAAGTATCCTGCTGATATTTTAGGGGAAAACTATGAGTTTTAGATTAATAAAATTATTAACTGGCTCTTTTGCTGAATTTAGGCCCCCTTTTAAAAAGACTGTTAGGAATAAAAACAATAAGGAGAGTGTAAATTTTTAAGTTTAAAAATCTTAATGTATAATGAAATAACTATAATGTGAATTCAACATGTGCAAAAACTACTATACTTGGCTCCATAAATTTTGTGTCAGAAAACTGATATTCTCGTTAGTAGACTGCCAGGTGATTGGGAACTTACGAATGTGTATCTTTTTTGGTTTTGTTTTCATAATAGAATATACCGAATTCCCGTAAGCCAGTAGTTTTGAATGATTGTTCAGGAAGGTATTGACAGTTTCATTATTGTCATGCTAGCTATTATAATGAGGTGTGGCATAAAACTCAGAGCCAGTGTGTTACACCAGGTGGCCAAATGACGAGTCGAACAATTCTGCTGTGTTACAGTGAACAGTAAGATCAACACTAACTTTAAACAATCTCTATAGTTGCAATAGCTGCTGGCCGAAAACTTGCCCACAGACTTTTCGAATGCAAAGAAGATTCCAAATTAGACTATGACAACATCCCCACTGTGGTCTTCAGTCACCCTCCTATTGGGACAGTGGGGCTTACAGAAGGTGGGTATTTAAAGATGAAGGGCATTTGTGATTTCTTTGAGCTAGGTCTCTGTCAAGCAGCTAAATCTATCTGTGTCTCCAAGTTATGCTCTTGATTTTTATTTATTTATTTTAGACAGGATCTTGCTTCATTGCCCAGCCACCTAAGTGCTGGGACTACTAGCACATGCTGCCATAGCTGGCTTCTCCCT